AATCGGAACGTTCTCCTCTACCTCTCTATTTATACTACTACTCCATCTCTTCAACTCCATCTCTTCAACAGGTCAAGCGCGCGTTGAAGTGCGAGACTCGACAAATAATTTAAAAAATTGACAAACAAATAAAATTCTTTGATAAATTTTTTTGATCAGTATCAAGATATCGACAGACAACTTGCAATTGAGCGCAAACGGCAACAGTTGGGTAGTGCGGACAAGCACGTGCTGGCAGTGAGTAGTTGTGCACATGCATGACGCAAACACACCGCTTGGAAAACGAGTGCACTACGCGCGACAATTTCCGTTGACTTGAATCTTGAGTTGACCCGTGACAAGGCTGCACGTTGAAAGTTGAAGAGATGACAGATAAACCTCAAATTCAAGCTTTTCAAGTTCAAGCGGAAAGTTCTCATCCACCTAACTATATATACTACTTGAGAAATTTCTATAGTAACATGTGGTAATTATCTCCTAATTTACTTTAACTAAGATAAATCTTCGTAAATGTTTGACTAACTCTCCATACATGACATGCTACTCACAATTTCGTGACATCGTGCAGCTTTGTCACGTGTCAACTCAAGATTCAACCTAAGTGCATTGCGCGTCTAATTCGTGCCACATGTCAACGATATGTCGATGTCTCAAGCGTCAAAACGTATGCGTCACGTCACGTCGCAACGTTTCAGAACCTCAAGCGTCTATGGGATTGACGTGACAATTGGTGTGATGACGTATCACTGGCCTACATTGACGTGACTTCCAAAGGGTTGTGTGACACCTTCTATACGATGACTTGACGTTCGATGGGAGGTTGAAATGCTATCCATAGAGGACAACACGTGTTACCGCCAAGTCAACGGAAGTTAGCAATGTGTTTGCGCCACGCATGTGCACAACCGCTCACTTCCAAGGCGTGTTTGTTTGTGCTGCCCAACTGTTTCCGTTCACGCTCAATCGCAAGTTGTTTGTCAATATCTTGGTACTGATCAAAAAATTCATCAAAGTTTGTTAGTTTTTCAAATTATTTGTCGAGTCTCGCACTTCAATTCACGCTTGACCTGATTGACGCATGTGCTTTCGACCTATCAAACAAATTGAGTTTTGTCATCTACATGTGATTGGTTTGCACTCCGGCCGTCCACACAACTTTCTTAGGATTTGTTGATTTCTCACTATCTAGATTCGTCAAATTCCACCTGACAATTGAAATTCCAATGTTTTGCACATCAACCTCTCCAAGATCTTTGAAAACACATAGATGCACATCAAAAAATGTAGATTATTTTCCATGCATCGAGTTGTCATCTAGTCATCAACCTACTCACTTGTTGACTTTTGCACTAACTCACTACTCTAAACAATTCTCGAACTATAAATCTAGTTTTGCAATCATTGTGATTCATGGTAGAATTTAACTTGATCCAAGATACTTCACATTTTGCAAATATCAAGTCACCTGTACATCGATCTCAGATCAGTATAGTAGAATGTAGCTAAAATGCAAAACAGCTCTAGCAAGACAAGATTGATGATCTTGAGATCGATAGAAACTATTTCACAAGACTGTGAATGCTAATACGATGCAATGTATTTGCTGCGGTAGCAATTTAGCTAAGCTACTTGGAGATCCCAATAGGTGCGCCCAAATCTTTGGAACAGTTCATGCATCCATCATATGCACATATCATGTACCCGCTCAAATAGTTTTCATCACTTACAATGTCCAATTCATCGCTTTACCCAGTAGAGAGAGTTGATCTCTATCACTTACTATGTCTGATTGTTCGCTTTATTCAGTAAAAGGGAGTTGTTTCCTATCACTTAGAATGTCTGATTCATCGCTTTATCCGGTAGAGAGAGTTATACCTATCACTTACAATGTCCGATTCATCGCTTTATCAAGTAGAGAACGTTATCCCTGTCACTTACAATGTCCAATTCATCGCTTTACCCAATAGAGAGAGTTGTTCCCTATCACTTACAATGTCCGATTCATCGCTTTATCTAGTAGAAGGAGTTGTTCCCTATGACTTACAATGTCTGATTCATCGCTTTACCCAGTAGAGAGAGTTGTTCCCTATCACTTACAATGTCTGATTCATCGCTTTATCTAGAAGAGAGAGTTGTTCCCTATCACTTACAATGTCCGATTCATCGCTGTACCCAGTAGAGAGAGTTAATTTCTATTACTTACAATGTCTGATTCATCACTTTATCCAGTAGAGAGAGTTGTTCTTTATTACTTACAATGTCCGATTCATCGCTTTACCTAGCAGAGAAAGTTAGTCCCTATGACTTACAATGTCTGATTCATCGCTTTAAACCGCAGAGAGAGTTTTTACTTATCACTTACAATGTCTGTATCATTGCTTTACCCAGTAGAGAGAGTTGATCCCTATCACTTACAATGTCTGATTCATCACTTTATCTAGTAGAGAGAGTTGTTTCCTATCACTTACAATGTCCAATTTATCAAGTCTTCAGTAACCAAGGGTTGTTTCATTCTCTTACCATGTCCAGTTTATCAATGTTCTTCTGTTACAAGACTTGGTCCCGATAGATGCTTTGTTTTTGCCAGAGCTATTTCTAGAAAATGCTCATGCCGGTCAAAATATGTAGTTACAGAAGATATCTTCTACTAATTGTGATATATATTGCTCTTATGGTCCAAGATTGTTGTGTGACATATCAAGTGAAGCTGCGCTGAACACCCGTCTTATTTCTTGTAGAACAATTCCAAATTCATATGCATGTCTGTATTAAGATTTTGAACAGAGAATCACAAGGTTCCAAAATTCATGTCAAACCGTCAAATCTCCAGCACATCAGTGCTTAAATTTCTTATGCAGAACTTGTACAAACTGCAAACAAATGTGAAGCGGAAAATATATCATGCGCATCAAGATGAAGGATTGAAATACAAGGAATTTGAAGACTAGAATGTCGGACTAAAATTATGGTATTAGAGCGTGTTGTGAAAACCTTCTTGTAAACAGCGAGCAAGCAAAAGGGATACCAAAATGTTTTTAGAGCTAAACAAACTATTCCTCCGTTCATAACAATAGTGTTCACTGGGGACTCTTGTCGTGCCAAAGTGTGAGAAAGAAGATAGACGAAAGAATAATTCTCCATAGTAAGCAAACCAAAATGAATTTCTCCCACTACTCTATAAGCTTTCTACGTCTTCATCATTTACCATACTCCTTCACAACGTCCGGTTGGTGTCGATAACATTGCCTTCCAAAACCCTACCTATGACTACGTGCTCTATTAGAAAGCCTATCTCTTGAGTGACCGTGAGTTAGTCCTCGGAATCAAAGGTGAGAGCTCCTTCCGCGCATCAGCATCCCGGCGTGATTCCGAAATGAACCTCGTAAAAGTCGGTCTCCATCTGCACGAGCAAATGGATTCACTTTGCCTCTATCTAGAAAACTCTCGATCAACCCTCTTATGACGAACTTGAGTCCTGTGGCAGACGAGGTATGAGTGCCCATTGCATTACTGGATCGTGGGACGATTTGCATTCCTGGCGGACACACCCTTGAGTGGCACGCCACTCAAGGCCGCCTTGTAGTTGCCGGTGTGTCCTTCCATATTCAAAATCCTAAACCTAATCAAGGTTAGCCTCGGGGTACTCGTTGTACTGCTCAACGGTACTCAATCTTACCACCAGGTGGTGGTTCACACGATTCTGAACTCTAACAAGGGAGAGAAGCTGTCTGTAGCATATTACAGCGTGCGCCGCTTAGACGGTGTCGCAGCGCGGAGCTCTGTTCTCGCTCATCGTCGTCTCCCCGCCCGGCATTTGGACTTGAGTAATGTCAACTTTTCAAGCTAACAGCTTCTCTCCACCAAACACTGCCTAGTTGCAGCTGCATCGAACCTGCATCAACGTTTTTATATGAGAGATTATGAACTCTATCGATAGGTTCTTTCAAGCTTTTATGCGCGCTAACTATCAAACAATGTGTATTAGGATATTGTATGCATAAGAGTACGTCGAATCATTGATTATGTTAGATATGTCGTTTACATCTAATTCTATGCATTGTGTATTGACAATTAGAAATGTAAACGATAACGATAATTTTTGTGAAACACTGTATATAAGTTGTAAGAACGGATTGTAAAGAAGGGTAAATTTGATTGCTTAGAGTAGTATTGAGTTTGAGCATGGGAAGCATCTGGACGCTGATTGATTCTAAAGAACAACTGCCACAATTCGAATGAAATTGTTGGCATGTGGATTCGCTAAATAGCTGGGGTGATATGTTCGTGGTGTGTTTTTCCATGATGGCTGATGTGATAATTTGTTGGGATTTTCCGAGATGTACCAGCCACTTGAACCGAAATTACATTCTCGTATGTTCACTAGATATAAAACAAGTCATACTATCAGGCTTGGCCACGGTCCGGTTAACCAGTCCCAGAAAAAATTTGGGACCGGTTAACCGCCGGTCCGGACCGTGGCCAAAAAATGCACTACATTACATTAGGGTGACGAATTTTCTCTGGACCGATTAACCGGTCCAGAGAAAATCGGGACGGGTTAACCGCCACGGTAACCGACCAGACCGTGGCCAAGCCTATATACTATCGCTTATGTTAGTAAGTGATGCTTGTTGTAGAAAAAAATGAGATGTGATTTAAACCTTTTCTTAACTGATTCTTCCCAATGGAATCTCGATTCGTCCATCAATTATCTTAGTTTTAATTCAAAAATATACTTCAAATGTAAATATCTCTATCAAAGATAATGAAGAATCTATTTCATGTTGAACCGCAGGTCAATTAGTAGAATGCGGCCATCTGGAACATCCGTAGGAGATCTGAATGTTCGTTCGAGGATTTTCGGCTCTTGTAGCGAGAGTTCTAAGGCTGGAAGGATGGTCCGCGATGGTCCGACGGCCACGCTGGAGGCCACGCTGGCAGGTTGGGCTCTCCCGCTGCCCTTCGGGAGCAAGGTTCGAAGGGACACTCGGAGCCAGTGGCGATGTTCCGAAGGCTCGACGAACTTTGCGCCATCTGCTGAGAGCCTCGTGGCGATGGATTTCGCCGGTCTGCCGCTGGCTGCCTCGGCTCACTCACTCGTGAGGAAATTGAAATCGATTGATTGAAAAATGAGCGTGAGCGTGAGAAATTTGAGCGTGGTTTATGGCCACACCGAGGCGCCATTTGTCTTTCAGAGACAGGCTGAGGAATGTGTTGTTCTATCGGGCAACGAACGAAGCGGTGAAATCTTGGGACAGTTTTGAGTCCAAGCTCTTTCCTTTCGGCTGGCAGAGGAGCGTGAAGACTCTCGATCACTTCAAACGGGTTTATTGGCTTCCGGAAACTAATCTGCAGTTGGTTCTGCCCGGTGAGTTCAAGGAACTGACGTCCATACATATGCTGGAGATTTGCGTTTCCAGCCACACAGCGTTCGAGGTTCGCGAAGTCCTCGAGAGGCCCTTCTGATCAACACTGATGCGTGCTCAAGCTCGTTGGTGAACCAATTAAGTTCTTGCCGATTCGTTTCGCAGACGCTTCACAAACTTTTCATAGTTTAGTGTTCAGGCACTTCGCTTCGATGCTCACAAGGCAATTATTGGCCTTTTCACCTCCGTTGTAAAGGATCAGATATCCCAATATATGCTTTCTATCCATGTCTCCCAAGGTGTCCAACCGAACACGTTGCAGATTGACATACTCTTCTTCACTTTGGTTTTAGTAAAGATTGCAAGCTGTGACAATAATTCCTGATAATTTACGCTGTTTTGGAATCATGTGGTTTCTCAGTGAAGTAAATTTCAGGCACAACATCTTGTCATCTTATATCCGAAGCTGTCAACTTCCTTAAACAGCCCTAAGAGCCATACACAAGGAAAATCATGTACCTTTAGGAATGTAGAACTCAAGCCCCTCCTCGAGAAACTCAATTTCAGACATCAAAAGGGTTGAGCTACCGATACGGCCTCAGAGGTCATTCCTCCGGTAGCTGGGATTTAGCCTGTAGATGTTCATGCTGGACTTTCCAATCCTCTCTGTGCGCATTTCCAGGTGATATCACTGAGCGCAGGCACTGAACTCAAGTGAGCACGGCCTTCTCAGCTATGGTAACTCGAATCTCACATACTCGGAAATATTACGTGGACTTTGCAACTTCAAAATTATCAAATACTGTGAAATGGGAGACGCATTGAACAAGAATAGAAGGAAGGCTCATCGATTAGCGTTAAGAGCAAAGGTTCCACTTGCTATCCTACCTCGCCTACATGCAGATCTCGAAAGTGATACCGCGAGCTCCATAACACACATCACCAATTCAAGCTCTGCTTACACGGTGTCCAAAATATTGAATGCCCTCTAGACTTTGCAGCAAGAGCCTGCGCTTGCAAAGAGTGATCGGGCCGATAATAAGAAGTCTGAGATGTATTGACTCTTCACGAAGAATCTACCCAAAAAAATGTACGAAAAGGCGAGCAAAATAACTGATAAATGACTGCCATTGAAACTAACTGCCTGACATTACAGCCTCGTGTAAAATGCAATGACCAAACTGAGAACAAAAGATGTAAATACCATGCAACCATCTTTGCTTGAAACACCTCGGAACCCAAAGATGGGCATATGTTTGCTATTTATGTTTGGAGTGCTCACGAGCTTGATGAGATTGTTTCATTACTACGTGACACTATTTGGTTTGACATCGCCCGAATTTTTGACCATTATTATCAATTACAGTATATCAACAACCCTCAGTATATGTTTCATTATTGGGGAACTGTATCTTGACTACCGTGACACTATTCATTTTATTGTGAAAGCTTACCATGTCAACAACATACAATACTGAAGCTAGTTATGATCATGGCTTGCATGATTCCCTTTTTTATTTTAGGATGATAAATGTATGAACATCCATCATAGCTCATAAGTTATATGAACTAACATAAATTATATAATTATTCTCTTGTTAGATGATTTACATCAAATGCATTCATGTATTTGATCTACTTTATTGTATTTTGGGATCGAGAATGAACAGTATGAGACTTGAAATTTTAATGTTCCAAATCGACTTTTAAATCTGGAATATTGTAACTTCTTTGAACTTAACATATGTAAGTGTTTAGCTAGATAATACAAGTATTTTGAACTCTACATAATTGTATTGTTAAGTAACTCGGTATGCAATTTGACTGATGATGAATACATCAATAAATTAATTGTTATGTTTCGATAAATATATTATGAGAACACGATAGCACTTGCTATAATCAATTTTGATTTAAAATATTGAATTGAAATGTTACTCGCAGATAATAAATTCCATGCATATAATGTACTAATTTCTATTTCTAAAGTAGTAGAATAGTTTTTGGCAAATTTTGTTAACCAAAATTATATCAATCGTTATGTCCGTTGGAAAAGAGATAAATGCTTTAGACGTAAATCATAAATTTACACTTTGCTTTATTATTCCAGTCACACACTCCACCTATCGAGCGATGGAACCAATTATTAAGTTTCATGATAGACGAACTACAAGTACAAGGTGAAAATTATCTTGCCTTGAATCAAAATTTATCTTCTGTACTAGACTAATTTAACCGTCAGTGTTGGCCAGTATCAGGATCATGTCCTAAGAGTACCAAAAGTGAACACTTATACCGGAAGCAAAGCTTATGAAAAGTACAGCGATTATAAACATCTATTGGGAAACTGGGAATGGTAGGAAGTTCACTGACATGCATTGACCAAATGACTTAATGATACGGTTGATCGAACTATGAAATTCAGATACTTGACTGATTACTTTAATCTATGCTTTTCTAGTTCCCCATCTGCAGCTCTCACATTGTTACTTCCTCGCTTATTTCCTTGAGGCGGGGCAACTACAATACATCGATACTGACTTATTTTGAAAGCAAGGACAGTCGCGGATTCCACGATAAACTATGCCGAACAGAAAAATAAGGCGAAGAAATGAGGAAACATGTGCAGGAGAGAGGGAAGAGAGGGGGACATTATCGGGGAAATTCGTTCACGAACCAGATTCAGCTACCAGATCTTATTCCGTAACGTACAGATCATACACCGAGCAGTAGTCTAATTCAAGCTTTAGCATTGAGACAATTTTGGAGCTTAGAGGGACACTGCCGATATGTCGAAGCCGGCTGCGATTTGGAAGGACAGTGGTGACTGACAACGTATACGAACTCTATCGCAGCGACTGAATCCATCAGATATCCTATATAGGTTTCAATCATCGTGAAATTGATCTACTTCGGTCTGCGCGGGCTCGAATTGCCCTCGGAAGGAAAGAACCTTCGTAACCAATTCTGAAACCTCCAGAACTTGTTACTGAACAAGAGACTGAGCAAAATTCTTCCACATATCTGATCTCTCAGAAAGCAGTAAAAGAATATGGCTTCAGAAGCAAATCTCCCCATGATTGCTACAGGCCTCCTTCGATCTGGAATAATTCACGTTCGTTTCAAAACGGTGTCAGTTCGGAAGTTCCGTCTCTCACTGGACCTGTATACCATCTCGTACAGTCGCGACGTTCAGGCCCGAAATCCGTCTTAGCGCCATCACTTTGCAACTGCGCTTGGATATGACGCGCTCGATCGGTTATCGGAGCTATCTCTCAGCTCATGAAGGAGGAGCAAACCTTAGGCGTGCATTTGTGTTCACAACTATCTTGCTGTGCACTGATATGAAACTTTCTGAAGATTCTTAGATGTTGATATGGTGTGAGTAAAACATGAAGAACGGATAAGGATTAATGAAAATGCAACGTGACAGTGAGAGGAAATTAACTTCGTTCGACCACATTAGCAGAAAAGACAATTATCAAGGAGGAATCATGGTTGTGATTGCTTGATTGGAGTGATGGATCTGGACAAACTAGAGTGGCACGGATTGGCTCTCGCTCGCTGTCTGATTTTGATCGATGAGTGATTACATTATAGTTCGTTGTCCGGACCAGCAATGCAACACCCGCTTGAGCAATTCCTCTTGTTCAGAAGGCTCAATAGAACATTCATAGAACCTCCGGCCGGTGCTGTCAAAGATGCTCCTCTGAGAAGAAAAATGTACACCAAGGACAGTCGAATTTGACCAATTTAAAAAGCTGGACCGTCCTGTGGCATGCCTTTACCTTCCATGTAATCATGAAAATCTTAACAAAAAGACTGAGAACAGAAGAGCACTACTGTACTTTTATACAGAGGAGGGATTTTTCCGAAACGGCCACGTTTTCATTGTTTTGTTTTGCGATTTCTCTCTCCAACCTATGCGGGGTAGCATAAATATGCAAATTCTAAGTCGAGACCAATCGTGACAAACTACGACTGGTGTAGGTGTAGTTGCTGGATGAACTCGACTATGACCTTCTTCTTCTAGCTGATCTGATTCTGGTCGATCCTACTCTTCTTAGTTCATTCTTCGTTAACGATGATCAGTGTAAAGGGCCTGATTTTGCTGTAAAGGCCAGGAACCCTTTGATTCTTCGTTCATCGTTTTGCTTGGCAGTCAGTGCTACCTCTGGCGCTTGTGTGTTTTGTAAGCGATAGCCCGTTTGAACTTCGCGTGGACTTTATATTCATCCATTCACTTTGCTGAGAAGGACGCCGGATGAATCACCAGTCCAAAAATCAGCCTCGAATGGCGTCAACCACTCACTGCTTGCCTTTCGTAGAATATCCTGCAATCCCTTGAATACGTTCCTTCCGGAAGGAACGTGTCAACTTGGTCAATAAAGTATTACGAGATCAACAGGGCTTCTCAGCTACTCTGAGGGGAATACACTTCCCATGTGAATCCGACCCTTGACAACTGAATGCACATAGCACACGGGGGCTGAAATAGTCCTTCTTCCGATTGGTAAACACGTCAGAAGTGAGAAATACAAGTTTCAGAGCATTCCGGGTCTGGCCAGGGTCTGAGAGTGAAAGCAGTAGTTGTGTGGTTTAGCATGTCGATTGCTTTCTGGAGATACTCTTAGAGCCATCACATCAAACACGTATGAAATACTTTGAAACAGATTCATGTAAAGTCTGAACATCGAGAAACCTCAGACGAACTCTGTCCGGGCTCTTGTCTAAGCTTCCTCTGAAATCAGTGAGCCAACGATCACGGTTATACCTCCCCTGTCAGCGGATACAATGTCGTGATTTATGGTGTAATCTTGTTTCTGGCCACATATGCCAACAAGTCAAGCAACACGACAAGCTACTCGTACAAGTGTTATCCATTCCGATTTGGTTCAGTTTCTCAGAGACTTTCACTTAGACTGTGCTGCCCACGCGTCTTGTAAGCGAGCTGCCAACCTCAGTCGACGTGAAACTTCTATCAATCAGAAGCAAAAATTCCAGCGTATGCTCAGTCAGAGATTCATGGTCTCGAGAATTCAAGTCTGGAAATGCATGACAGGGAATCCCGACACAAAACCAGTCCTCGAGGTAAATACGAAGTCTAATATCCCTGGGAAAGCGAACTTGCCCTTAGGAGTTGATTGTGTTCGAGGTCCAGCATGTAGATTATGCTAGGCTCTTGAAGCGAAGGCTTGTTTAATAATTAGATAATAAGAATAAGAATGATGAAAAGATATGGAATACTCTTATGAAAAACGTCAACAAGATCGAATAAAGGAACTCGAATAGCCCAAACGAGGATGGGAAGGTCGAAAAAACGAAGATCAAGCACTCAAAGAACGATAATCGATTTCCTTCTGGCCTTCAAGCACTCTAGTTTGCTGAAATTGTCTTCTCTACTCCTGGAAGCATTGTGTCCTCACACGGTTGCTCCATTTGTTGTTGCTGTGTTCAATCTCCAGAGACAAGCACTAAATCAATCAGAGAACGATACCCAAATCCCGTCTGGCCATTGTCGACTCAAGCTAGCTGTGGCGTATGGCCTAATCGAAATCCATTGTGGGAACCCTGGCCTGTGAGTCAATCAAATGTCAAGGCCTCAACCCTTTGCAAGCTTGCTTCAGTCGTTGCTGCTGCCGCGCTTGCATTCGCAGCATCTAGCAGTATCCCGAATGGGGAAAGCAATTGACTTACGTCGTCAGAACAGCTCCTCATATCGGAGACCATCTTCGCAGAACCTGTCATCGTAATCGACGTTCAGATTCGCAAGGCCACTGAATGCATCTACTCGACACTGTCGCAGAGACCGATTGTGTCAGCGACGTGCCGTTCAGACTCTATGTCGGAGGTTGATCGCTGCTCGGAAGCTATTATCAACGCCGACCAGAACTGCAGACAAGTACAGCAGCGTCAGGGCCATGCTCCTTCGGATAATTTTACTGCCGAGTGAGAACAGGTTGATGTTCAAGATACAATATATTTTTCGAAAGATTTTTTTCCAACTCTTCGTGCAAAAACTACCTACAAAAACTACTTCGAGGCACTACAGATATATATACTAATGTTTCTTTTAGTGTGCAAGTATGTAGTTTTATTATGAAAAACACAATTAAATTAGATGTATCAAACAACTATATTCTACATTATTTAATTTTACTTTTCCATCAACTTTAATATAATATAAATACCATGTTGAAAACGAAATATATTATAACTATGACTTTTCCAAGTCTCAAGTGTCTATTTTCTTCAGCATGACCTCAGGATTGATCAGTAAGTATAAGGCAACAAGGACATTTGAGTAAATCAAGAACCAGACTGAGAATGTTTAACATTGAGGTTTCGAGAGGGACTGTCACCAGGATTTATATTCCTCTCCTGATGCTGCTCCGCTGTATGAGCTTGTGATTGCTTGTGCTGCAGCTGCTATTCTGAGGGTTGTTGGGCAACGAAAATACCCTCCACTGCAACTATCGTGAGGTCTGTCCCTTTGACGAGAGCATATGCACATGCCAATTGCCGTTTGGCAAGTGTTTGCCTTGTCCAGTTTAAAGTTGCGGGCAAGAGTTCACTTCGAGCTAGGTTACGTTGAGAGGTTACCATCTGCACGCAACGATTGCAAGAAACACACGTCTCGTCATTTGGGAGATTCTTTGTAGTGATCAGACTTTTCCAAGTAGATTTGACGAGCACGAGGGTTGTGGTGATGAACATACAGCAAGCTTGAACTTTGGAAGGAGCTGCCAGTGGATAGAAAAGAGTCCCTTAATGATCGATCCGTCTTCTAGATACCTCTGACTTCGATAAAGGACGGTCGAGGTCAGTGATTCGGCTTTTTAGTACGCGCGTGAGAACTCAGCGGATTCAGAATTCTGATGTTGTTATGGAGAGCCTCAAACAGCTCTCCAGCACCGGACAGCTAACTACCACGATAGCTCGTTTTGTTGGCTATGAGAAGGATTAATTAGCTCTTGCATGGAGCCCAGTCGGACAGATTAAATTAACTGGTAAATTAATCATCAGCTGTCAAATTGATTCAGAAAAGTTAGAGGCTTCCGCTATCTGCTTGGAACGCCATGCTTAAATCTAGTGAGCTTTCCTAGTGACGGCTAGTGCTTGATTTCTGTAATGATAAGCATTTGAAGCTGACTTGAAAGGTCAAGTTCACGAGTACACCTACATCTGGTAGTTGCTGAGAAAAAACTCGCCGAGACCCCTCAGATTGGGATCAACTTCTGCGGCTGGATGCATTTGAATGCACGAGAGATATGACGTGAAGCGGTTCCATCTACCGCTGGAACCGCATTGAGGTCAGACCGAAGAGAGTTCCATTCACAATCGGCAAATTCTGTATGAAAAATGAAATGACAGTACACGGACTCACAAGGTTGTAGTCAACTGGTGCAGATTTTTTGTCTACGATTTTTCTGAATTCGATTCTTGCGACATTTGCTTGCAAGCAACAACAATATGAACAAATTTGAATATACTCAATGTATGAACGTCAAAAGTCGACGAGATATTAGAACCAGAAAGTTCTCGTATTTCCTGCTTCATGCTCTATAATTTTCAGCACCTGGTATATTTTGTTAATTTAAAGAGGCTTAATCGGACACAAAGCAAAAGAGGTGGCTGACTTGGGGGATATATTGATAAAACCATACATGATTATTAAACTTCTCCCTCGTTGACAAGTTGCAAGTAAGTTCGATCATATGATGTTACGACTTCGTTGTTGGAGTCAGACGTTGAGTGCAACTCTGATTGACAGTTTCGCACGACTGACTGACTCGGATAGAAAAACTTCGATCCTCGCCTGAAAGCTGAACGTGCATCATGTCACGCACGATGCACCGAATGGGTGACTCCACGAGTGACATGCGCTAAATCTCCCTTGCCCAAATAGTTTGCAAACGGTAGAGAGAATAATCAGAACCGTCAATTTCTGTTAAAACAAGTACAAGAACAGGCGACAGCCGCAACGACAGCAAAGCTAAACTCAGTGGTAAGAGGAGTCTCATGTACACATGTTACGACAACTTCAATGGATCCTTTGACTGCTTGGAATTCTTCTGGGGAAGTGGAAACTGAACCAACGTTTAGATTTACACAGTTGGGCCTCTTATCCTGCCTACTGCATAGTGACCTACATTCCTTTTGTCTCGAGTAGGCTGGCTTCGCAAAAGAGGTGATTGAACCACACTCTGTACTCACATTCATAATCGGTTGAAGAGCAAATAGTATCAGAATGTTAGAGCGATGTTTGAGGTCTAGAGAGCCTGAAGGCATGGGACCAGATCTAGAGGACGCCCCTGTAGCAAAACTAAACGACACAGTTCAGAAAGAGATACAAATGTCCATTTCACCGGATGGTACAGTCTCTTCTTGCTGCTGTGACATCGTAAACTCGTTACATCGAGCATCGACTAGCGAGGAGGAGGGAGCATCGAAACAGTGCTAGGGAATCTTAATACGTGCTAGTAGCCACACGACAAGGCAACAGAGTCAGATGTATTATCATGAAGCGTTTGTTAAGTCAACACTAGTCCTGGCTTCGTACCTTCCTACTCAGAGTATGTCTTCTACCTCAAGTGGAAGTCAACATGTCCTTTGTATCTAATGCCCTTCCAGTTCTGTGATACACGATGCATCTTAGGATCATGGTGCTCGGCTGTGTACTGTATTCTCTCGTCCTCCGGGGCCGCCAGAGAAGCAGATAAGATCGTTTGACTAGTTTGTATGAATCGTCGAAAAAGCCGGAGCCTGAACGATGTTGGCCTTTGCCATGCATTTGCCACGATAACTGGCAGCTTGAGAATTCAGTTACCTATCGGATCTCACCATTCCAATAAAGTTCATGATATTACAACCAACCCGTCTCAGGTATTATTATTTACGTAATTAACCAGTTCAAGTTCAGAGCTCCGCAAAAAGATTTCTAGGCCGAAGGTAGATCGCGACAACGATGAATGCAAGTTGCAAGGCGCGACGACCGTGACTATCGCGATGCGTTCTATTCAGACACAGCTGATCGAATTCAGCAAGGCAAATAACTCTCCTCGTCCTGATCTTCTATTCTGCTGTGTCGTGGAAGTCGAATCATCTTGCAGCTGCACACACAAAGAACGAAAATTGAGGTTCTAGCTGTTCTGTCTCAGTTCCTTACAATTTGGGAATTTACTCACTGAAATCATATTTTAGTGAAGACTTCCTTGAGGAGGTGCTTCCAGATCGCTGTACGCATACCTTAGCTGGTTGGCACAAGAGCTCAGGAAATGCACAAAATGTTTACCATGTTCCCGGTGATGCCCTGAGGCTCCTATACTTGATGGGACCAGAGTAAGACACAACACGAGTGAAGTCTATGTCAATCAATAGTCAGGTCTGATGGATCGGTACCATCCACCATAAATCTCTTGAAGAGACATGTGGACATTCCAGCTCGAGAGAACACAATGAGTACTTTGGTCCCATAGTTGATCGAGATAAGCGAGTACATTAATCACCAAATTGATCACAAATGTGACGACTTGAAAAGGAATGACACTGCATGCTAACCCGAATGAAAAAAAAAAATCCTGAAATTAGACTCGTCACTCACATACGAAAAATTGGTGACTTAGCAGTGACAGGGACTGTTCAACCATATCTCGTACGACTCAGGAAGATCATTCTGACATCCATCGGTCTTCAGCTTTGTTTCTCTCGGGATCCTGTGTGGTCCAACATTCGGGTTGCCGCGTATGGGCGCAAATGATGAACCTTTCCCCGTCATACTGTGGCTCTTCCCGTGCCGGTAGAGTTAGTCCATCGATCATTCTTGCTTCCATATTTGTATTGAGGCCTGGGTCAAAACACTAACTGTGCAGGTCGGCTAGAGTGGGGTCCTCACCATGGCCGGCCTGCATTACATTATCCCTGGGCTGATTGACATCAGAATTTAAAATTCATGGTCCTCGAACTCCATTTCACTATCAGCATCGCCGGGGTCAAAAAAATTCGTCCGTTTCCGGTAACCCACACGAGCTTCAATTGTCTCTTACACGTGCAATCTCAATGAACAAGGTTTTTCGCCTTCACAGGATACAGTCAGACACGCTACAGCGAGACTGCAACTGGTAGATTTGGCATCTGACACCTTCTTTTATTCCGTTGAATCGTTCTGCAGCAATCTTGTGGGACCACGAAGGAGAAAAGAATTGGATAACTAATCTGAAGGACTACAGGAGTAAATCACAATTGTGGTCAGAGTATTTACTGTGCCGAATGAGGCTAGAGGCAGTTAGGCTAAGAGTTGTCTGATATGCCACACAGGGAACGTTGTTCTCATGAAAGTAATTCCATCAGAATTCTAAATAGTCAGCTTGTGTCACTGAACATCACAGCTCTCCACTTCCTAGCGTGGTTTGGTTCACATGTCGAGCACATATGTAGACTTCTGTGTTAAACTTTGCTGCTGGCGGTGCGAAGAATCTTAGCCAGCGTGAAACCTAAAACCTCCTCTAATTGAATAATTAGCCTCGGTGCCTATCAGACTGCACACTTGCTCATCGGAATTACACCACCAGTTTCGTTTACTGGCGATCAAAGGGCCCCATTGAGGTTGTTTCTCTGCCTTCATGATCATCACCTTTGCTTCCACATGGGTAAACAGTTGAGACAGATAATGAGAGACCAGGATGTGACAGACAACAGAGAAATACCGACAGTGTGCAACAATCCTCAACAGGAATGTATCAGATAGTGCCTAACCAAGTATTAACCTAGCTTGCATCGCTTGTGCTTCACATTTTAAGATCATGGCCTCCTTGAGGTCACTCATAACAACGAAAGAGAGATGAGGACATCGATGGTCACTGCTTCAGCTCAAATGCGAGAGGAAACCGTCGAACGCAGCCAGTGCAGGTAGTGTGACTTATCGCTTGTTGTGTTATACTGAAATCCATCCATCATGCAGCGGCTCGGTGATCATGACCTCATATTCAGCATTTCCTTCACCAGATTTACAGGAAGAAGATGTCTGACATAGATTCTGGCGAATCGTACGCAGTGTGAATGGAGCCTGTTATCGAGGATGGGTTACTTACTGCTGGAGAATAATTAGTAATATCACTGGAAGGAACTTTTGATTATGATAGAAGTCTGAAATCGTCGTCAATCACATGTTCACTTAATATTTTCGAACACTATTAGTCCGTAGAGAAGACCCCACTTTCAAATGAATTAAGTTGTTTGGAGTTAAAATAGATGGAACTTATACATGTTTATTTTAGCTTTGGATCCTCGATGACATGTACAACATGATACTTTTTAATGTGTCAAAATACTGACAGAAGAGCTAGGATACCATCAATGTGTCTAAGAAGAAGTTTCAACAGATATTTACACTTTTTTCTGAGCCATATCGATATCGTAGAACACTGAGAAATTGTCGAACAAATGAATCCGAACATCGAGGAGGAAGAGAACAAAAAACGAAACATTTTGTTCACATTGAGAGAAAGTTCTTCGTTCATGCTTGCTTCACGTTTAGCCAGTATTTGACCCTACAAGTTGCCATGGAATTGATGGTTGAAAGGTTATCACTCCCTATCCGGCCCTTTCACATTTGACATACTCCGATCGTCACATATTACACACGTAAGTGCAAAAAGCCTTAACATGGGCATTCTTAAAAAAGTGTGTCTTTTAAAAGCTGTCACAGAGCAGAAAAAGGAACGAGACCGGGAACGGAAAAAATGGAGCGAAAGCAACAGCGTCACCCACAGGACGCAGTATAGCTCGAGCTAAAAGCATGTTCTTCACTGCTTTAGCAGTATTTAATGGATTCGATCAGAGTTCGAATGGACAAGCGACTTCAAGGCCCTGAGTCGAAAGTCAAAACGAATCTCCCTAGAGGAAACCAATGATGGATGGTGATTCGGAACTCGGCTGTAGGTTTGGCCACGGTCCGGTCCGGACCGGCGGTTAACCGGTTAACCCTCGGTCCGGTTTAACCGGTCCCAGGGAAAAGTACATTTCTTGGTGCATTTTCTGCATTTTTTGGTACCAAGAAATGTGGATTAGCATCCCAGCCGGAGTCAACTGTCGCTATCCTATTGTGTGCATAGTCTGCTGAAACCCAAGATGAAAGGATCGTTGTGGACTCCTATCCTTGCGAGAACAAAACGCCTCTCGAATAAAAGGAGAGGTCTGCAATGCTGGGAGCCAGTTGGTTTCCTCATCATTTTGGCCTGATCTATCATCCACTTTCTGCCATATTAGCTTCAAGCACAACATACTATCATTGCGGAAAAACATTTGGAATATTGGAAAAAATTTGCTCCTAAAAAATTGACTGTTAAGCAGTCCACCTTTTTTCTGAACCGGCTAAGCGGACCGTGGCCAAGCCTACTCGGCTGTAGGTCCACGAGAACTAAATTTCACTAGAGCCTCTGAGAAAGACAGCATCTCGAGAGATGCTTCAGTTTTCATGGCCAAATATTGGCAGTCCAAGGTCGTCGCACAGACCATGAAAAACCGAAGCATAGGAGATCCTTCGCCTGTTGGGAGGATTGACTGGAAAAAACAGTGCTGCGTGCACTCGCCAACGCAATCCGAGGAACAGAGCGTTGTTTGCGCTCCGAAGGCCTGGTCTGGTGTGTCTGAAGAATACAGTATTCGAGGAAGTGTGAAAAGGATAGGAACGCACCCAAGATCAGCGGACAGGCCATAACAGACACGCCATAATAGATAGAATCATAATAGAATGTACACGCATTTATGAGCTTGCCAAGCCTCAGGAAATCTCTCAAGTGTCTCGGAGAACTCGGTCAAAACAGTCACGAGCTGGAGGACACACTGAACTGGACGATCTAAATCACTGGAGTGAATTTTTCACTGGGCTAATGTGGATTCGCAAAGTCAATCACCACTTCTTACAATCACGTCATCTCTATGTTATGCAGAATTAGGAGAATCCGTCGAATTTTCTCTTCAGAGTTTTCTATCTTATTACTCTCTTCGTGTGTAGTTACTTTTTCATTTCTTTTCTTCGATATCATGATGACATAACCATTTAATGATTATATAATTTGATATGATGATAAATAAAGCTGTAAAATATAAATATTATTCTATAATATAAAAATGTATTTACTCCATACAATCAATGAATCATGGAACAAGTATTAATTGATTATCCAATAACAAAACTGAGTAATACTGATGCATTTGAGGTAGACCAGATAGCTCGTAAATTTTAGAGTACAGTAACAAAGCACAGTTGTCTATGTGATGTTAATCCCCATAAACGTCACATGTTGATGGGACTGGGCCCTTGTTTTCCTTTTGGTTTCAAGCTTCTATAATTTGGACGGATTCCTGTTGCTCCATGCTATGATACTTGGTAACACAAAGTAGTTTGCAGATACAATCGCTGATCGGCCGTGTACTTACTCACCAGGCGCTGAATCCTAAGGCATGCAGGCAGAGGACGGATTGATGGATGCACGTAGAAAGTGAACACGCATGCTGACAACGAGGTTTCCACATTCGGACGTTTGTCAGGTCGTGCAGTGAGTCAGAATACCTCCGAGCCTCTCACGGGAATCCAAAACCTCTTGCTCTCTCCTGACCTCAACAGGCACCTTGCTTTTTGCTTGCTGTCTTGTCCATATTGCGCTACCAAACATTCTTCACATGAAGCTCAGACGAAACTCAGTGCGGAAACTCATGTCGGAACTCAACTTAAATCTTTGAACATAACATACAGTGGTATACACCTTCTTTTCGTATCGACTACATTCACTTCAGATAAGTCCATCGTGAGGGGGTGCCCCTAGTGTGTGTATCTACTGAATTTCCCGTGCTCTCTGCATCCGGCTCAGATCATCATCCTTCAGAGTCCTCGCTGGGAAATTCTCGGCTGAAGACCTCGTTGTCCTCACCAGTGATCTTTCGGTCTTCAAAATCTACTCTGCCTAGTTTTCCAGATTTCACACGGAGCTTAATTGAACAGACAAATTGTCGTGAGCTCCGGCATGCTGAGCAGCCCTAAATATAGCTAAGCGTAAGTGTAAGCCCCTGCGTTGAAGTTGAAGTTGAGGATGAGGATGAAGATGAAGTGAATTGCAGGCTCGGTGCATCTGGTGCTGCTGACTGACTTCGTGGAATTGCGTCTCGATCAGGTGAAAGCCTGCTTATACATACATGTCATATGAACAGAACGAAACGGAGTGGGCGGAAAGATGTACAGTGGAAGCTCGACAGGGGCGCTGAGTGGGAGGGTGGGGCAATATCCATCTGATTCAGTCGGTGATGTGCCAAGCTCGGGTTCACGGGCGGTATCTAACATTTACAAAGCAGCCGACTCCATGATGTAGTCGAGAACCTGGAGCCTTTATACGGCATCGAGGAGCTGAGCCATGCCCTGCCGTGAACCCGGCGGCTTTCTGGGTGCCCGTGTGTTTATACGAAAGTCCCCTCCACTTTTGTCTTCGGGTGATCTCATCTATGAGCAAGCGTCAGCTTCTTAGATTGTCCTGCCTGTATGTACGTGTGAATTCATGATCGATGCTTCGGTTGTGGTCTTCTTCGATTAAAGTCGGGCGTGCATTTATCGAGACCTGGTCCGTTTCCCCCAATTCAACTCTGAGAAATCACACCACGAAATTCCTCCGCACTCGGAGAATCGGCACGTCGACTTTGCCGATGGCGCATAGACCCCTCAGGCGCTCGTTTTGCAATGCTCGCTGCGATGTACGATGCCGCAATTCTTCCGACCCGCGTCGAAGAAAAGCGTGTCATAATCACCATCATCGTCATCCTGCAAATCAATTGCTGTGATCATGACTCGAGAGGACCGGATGGTTGAAGACGATAGAGAAGTACCAAGCGCCTTGAGCGAACAGGTCGATGATGACCAGCGGCCGGAACAGGACGACCAGCATGAACATCCTCATGAGCGGCCTCATGGCTTCACCGCGACTTCGAAATATCTACAGCCTTTGCGGCCCTCGCAACATTCTTCCTCTCGTGCTCGAGCCCGAAACACTGAGTAGCACGGGTCAGAACTCTAGCTCGTTAGACATTCCCATCACAAAATCACGATCAGAGACTGGCATCCCTCTCGATTCCTCCGCACAATTCTCCATTCCACTTCTGAGGAGTACGAGCATCGGCCCAAAACGCATGAATCGAACGCTCGGTCGGTCCGTCGGTCGGTCGGTCAATCATCGAGTACGAGAGGTAGGTAGGTAGGCAGGCAGGGCGTCGGAAATTGCAGTGCTCTAATCAATCGTACTTCAGATGGTTCCGCCCACGCATGACGGCAAGCTCCAGTCGCCGAGGACGACGTGAAGGACGCAGAGGGCGAGGGTGGCAGAGATCAGGGCCAGAGAGTGGCGAAGCGATTCGAGCAGGGACGGGCGATGGGACGACGAAGACGACGACGGGGAAGAATACTGGTCGAGAGGAGGGGAGCCGGATGGCGTGGAGCGCTGAACATCTGGGCTGATCTCAAGGCATGGGCTCGTCGATCCGTCGTAGTCCGCCGCTGGCAGGTGCTGCATCGAGCCGAGGACGACGGTGGGTGGCGGTGGGGCGGGTGAGAGGGCGAGCAGGAGCGCGAAGCCGCTGCCGGAGATGGGCACGATCCGCTTCCGTCCCAGCGACGCCCGCAGGCGATCGACAATTGACAGCTTGAAGGTGGCCTCGTGCGGCGGCGGGCCACGTGTCGTCGAGGGCGAGGGGAAATCTATGCGCCCCTCCATCGCTTGCGCCAATCTGACAGCCCCGCCTCGGCGGCCTCAACGTCCACCCAATCTCGACCCCTGCTCCCGCTCTCGAATGACAGAAACCCAATTGCGCTTCGCACCCTCATCTTCTCCACGAGGCTGCCCGTTGCATCGTCATCGTCCTTCCTCCGTCCCCGTCATCGACACCCACCCCGACATCGACATCGCCACCACGATGCCTCCCCTCCGCTCACTCATTCATTCATTCCTTCGTTCATTCGGCCATTCGGCATATCATATCACCTCGAAGCAGGCAGCCGGGCGGGGCGCGGCCATGTTTGCAAGGGGATAACGGCGCTTGCAGCAGCAATTGCGAGGGGGAATCGCCCAACTCGCGCTTTAGAGCGCAAACGCAAACCCCGAGCCCATTTCTCAAGCGATTCGGCGTGCCCGGCAGCCGGTCCGTGCGGCCGCGGAGATGGGTGCTTGTCCGATCTCGATCACGATCTCCATCGCATTTGAAGGGCACAACAATACGAAAAGAACTGCTGCAATTTGTCGATGTCGAGACCGGACTTGGTACAGTGAATGTGCAGGAGAAACTGCTTTTGACCCGAGCCCTTTTGTCACTGCTGGTTTTGTGCAACATCATCTTCTCTCCGTCTGGGCCCCAGTCACGAGATTTGCCTTCACATCGGACAGGCCCGATCGTCGAGCCCACCCCCGGCCCAGATCTCGGCGGGCGGGCGGGCCATGGACGTAAGGAAATGAACGTATTCTGGTGAGTTGGGTGTCTGCGCAGCTCACGAACTCGGTCTCAGAAACTTCCTCTGACGCCATGGCGTTACTTCACCCTCGCCCGTTTGTGATGTGCACCAGCAAGAGCCTTGCCAGACCAAACAGAAAAGAAATGCGCACGCTAGGATGCTCGTGCTTGCAAAATAACGCTCGCTCGCCATGATTACAGTAACTTCCCGTTTAACCACGATCACCTTCAGTGCTCATAATTTATCGAACAAATAAGAGCCAAGTTTATTTACTACAACATGTAATGAATTGTCATTTTCCGCAAGCAAATTATACTCTATATCAACAAGTTAATTATAAAGTTATTTTTGGAATCCCTTGAATACAAAATTGTTTAGTAAATCTGAGCTTGAAAGGTAAGTATATTATCATTCAAATTCATCATCCAAATTTTCTTCAACAACCTTCATGGTCTCCACAAGCTCTCCAACTTCTTCCAAAATTGAAGTTATTAATACTTGACTGTTTTCAATGTCTTCTTGAACAATAGCTTGTGCAACTTCCATCACTAAATTTTCCATCTTGTTCAATGCTTCTTGATAGGCTTCTAATGTAATTAATGTCTTCACTACTGCATTTTTGATAGATTCTGGTTACAAGGATTGCTAACCTCTTTTGACAAAACTTTCATGATCAAGCAAGTGGATTTCTGTATGCAACTTCAGTAGCACCTCATTGTAATCTCTGTCCATATTAAATTCATAGTAGTCAAGAACAACGTTGAAATCGAGATATTTGAAACTCTTCTTTGGAGCTGCAATTATATTCGTATCGCAAGACTGTTTCCAATTTGTGCACTTTGGAGTAAACTAGAAGATCTCTATATTGTCGAGTTCAAAAGACTCAAAATGTCCGCAGACAATGTCCATTAGAAAAAAAACCGATGTCTGGTTCATGTTTTCATCTCTAGAAAATATCACTTTGTTGAATCACTTCCAACAGCCATCCAGGCATTCACTTTACTGAGATATGTAGCATGTCATTGGAGATCCTTGATACAGGAAGATTCTTTCGATTTGTTCATCAATATGCAAAGAACTTTGTGAGTTCTCACAACGTTAGCACACACGATAAGAGTTATCCGATGTTTGAAATTTTTCTTCCCTTTAGTTGTTGATATGCATGTCGGCTTATAATAGGCGGTTAGAGTTTTTGGCACCTAAATTATCTAGTTTAATTCTTGTGAGTTGCCTAATTAAGGCCTTCGCGCACCATGGCCATACCCCCATTAGACTGCTCTCATCCCAAGTTCAATGTTGAAGAACAAGCGCAACTCTAACTACTTCAAGGCCAATGATGCTAAATATGTTTTGAAAGTTGTCTTGCGCTATGCTTCTACTTCAACCATCAATGGAGTGTAGTGTCTTTTCTGCATCATGCTTCACATGAAGAAGCAGCACAGTGTAAAATTTTGATATTTGAAAAAGCTACAGTAAAAAACGGAGGAGAAACATTGCTTCGATGACGTCGAGTTTTCTTTCAGAAACACTCTCAGGGCTCACTCTGTCTTTGAAGCTACGGACAAGCGTGAGTTTGTCTTCATCATTGACAAAGGGATTGTTGAAGTAATCGTTGGTGAGATGATGTATTCAACGGAGGTTGAGGCTAGTGATGTTGATGATACCAACGAGCAAGAGACTTCATTTGAAGTGAGGCCGAACGTGCAATTGTGATCGCTAATCGCCGTGCCTGTGGTGTGAAGGCGAAGGAGTTGATGAAGAAAACTTGGGCTTTTTTGTTAGTGCTAGACTCAGCTTCGCACCATAGCACATCATATTTTGATATTCGTTTTCGTGTGTATTTGAAGAATAAGCGCGCTATCGTCAACCTTCATGGGTGCGCATTGGTGATTTTCAAACGACATACAGGCGAAGTCATCTTCAACATGAATTTCTAGTTTCTTGACGTACTCAACTCTTATTGGAGGATTTGTCTTCTCGGCGTCTCGAGCGATGGAGTCGAAATATGACCAAACGTGTCGTTAGCATCGTGATAAAGCTTTAGGTAGAACTTCACAATGATTGTCGTTTGATCCGAATCTGGTGCGGAGCACACCAGCTTGATCTAATTATGCAGCACATCATAAATGTAGTTGTGAAGAAGCGCTTTTTATTTTTGATGACAAGTTTCATTTCACATCACACACAGAAGCAGAACCTGATCACAAAAATGAATACAACATGTATTCTTGTTGTAAATCGATGGCTTTCTAGACAAGGTTACAACTTGGTTCAAGAAGCACCGACGTGAGTTCCTAGCTTACATTGAGTTGAAGCAACTTGCGAGTGCGCCCTCGACTTTGGTGGATGTATCTTCTTGCCATAGATACCTTCATGGTTAACAGAACCAACACCTTTCGCAAAACTCAAGGTCTGACAATCCTAATATGGCAACAGTAGGCGGAGCTCAACAATCTCGTTGGCAACTTCATCGAAGATTTATATATTAATGGCCCACCGACATAAGAAATTATTTATGTCCTAGATGCGACGACGCATATCATTGCTACGCGCTCACACTTTTGAAAGTGCAAGATTTTGTTGTCGGACTCGGATCATGGGTTGAAGGCATTCTTGACGCTATCGATAAGACGGAGCGTAACGAGTTGTTGCAAGATGTTGGTCTAGTTTTACTCAAAGCATGTGCTCGCATTGAGAGAATTATTGTGGAGCGTGATGCAGACAACAGTCCATTTGTCGATCCACTCGCGCTACCACATGTTTTACCGCAAAAGTTTGTTCAGGCTTCCGCTGCCGACTTCATTCACAAGGCTTGAAGATTCCGCCTACAACATCGATATCCGACAACAGAAATAGATGTCATTGGCGACGAGCATAAGACTTTTCTTTGATCTTACAGCAATGAGCCTTCGCTGCAAGAGAGCATTGATGGTTGTACCCAAAAGACATCCTTTGACAATGCTTGGACCTTACTCAGTGCTTAGTTTTCAAACTTGGACGAGTTTTGCGATGGCATTGTAACTACATTTTCCGACACGAGTACAGCGAAGTCTGACTTGTCTGTTATGAAATGGGAGAAAGATGATCACGGCAAGAGTCTTTGATACTTTGGACTTGAAGATGTGCTGCAAGGGAAGCAGTATATGCACATCAAGGCACTTGCGTATTGTGATAATTGAGTAGCGATCTCGCATCTTGATTATCGATCAATCAATTGCTTGGTAATACACATCTTGTTGCGCAAATGAAATTTTGAATTCTCGTTTATAGACCTTCAATCTCTACTAAAATGTACATACCATTTAAATTTATTATGGATTTAATTAACTATTAATTAATTTAGGTAATTTAGGCGATTGTCTATTATAACAAGGCCTGTTGATATGTCTTCATCCAACATTAGAAGATTGTAACTCGGTAATAGGTCCAAAAAATAAACCAAACTTGATTGAATTGATTGTGTAGTAGACAAAAATATTTAATTAAGTATATAAGTCATCATTAGAACCATATTTTTATAAATATGTTCACTATTATATAAATCAGAAGGTTCACTATCATTATTTTTGCTGTGACTAAGTTTAACTAATTATGATTCAGATTAGTTAGTTAATGTGTACTTTGTAGAATAACAAAACTATTTTTTAGACAGTTATAAAGATTTATATCTTTTCTTTAATGACACTTGGATTTTTTTAAATGAATTTTTTTACAACATGAATATTTTTGATTAATTTGAATAATTAAAAAATATTGATTGAATGCATGAAATAGTAAAATAATATATTAAAAAAAATTAAAAATAATCAATGATATATTATCAATTCAACTTATAAAAAAAACCTTCTAGATAATCTAGTTATACTAATAACATGAATAAATTTAGTGAAAATTGATTATGTTGTTATTATCATTATTTATTATGATATATGTTGAACAAATAGAAAAAAAAAAAGTAAAAAAATCTCAAGCAAATATGAGAATACTTTTGTGTGAGATTTTGTTTCATCAATTCAAAAATTAGTTTTCAATATACAATTGAAAGTACAAGAAAATTTACATTGATCAATATGTGAAGAGTGAGTGAAATAATAAATTAACTCCGAATAATTAGAAAAAAAAACATGATTCTATATACTTGATAAATTACTAGAAAATCATATTAGCCAATATAAATTTGAACAAACATTGACTCTTTTGACTTATCTACAAAAACTTGAAAATATCATGTTGTGATTGATAAATGACAACTTACAATGGCTACTTAATTCATCTAGGAGAAAAACAAAAGCATGATTTAAGAATTTTCATGTGCTGAGAATATATCATCAAAAATTATAAACTACTTATTTGATGTTATATTTTAATATAATTTCAAAGGTAAAAAATATATATTAATAACTTTTCATTTGATATGTACATTGAAGTATTTTAATTTTTGTGATCATATTATTACATTCTTATTATTATCATTTAAAAAAAATTATATCACATGTAGCATCAATAATAATTGTCTCTGTCATATTAATAAGTAAATTATATCACAATCTTAAAATATTCAAGATAATAATTATATTTCATATAACCATATTGATATTTTTATAATACTACACATCATATCCTTTATAACATCATTTGAACAAATAATGCATTCTTTTCATGAGTCATGAATTTAAATATTTAAAGTATAAATTCATGCAAGAAATGAAGATATATATGAATGGATTAAGTGAAAATGATAAAAAATTTTATTAAAAAGTAAAAAATTTCATCATAAAAGCCTTA